AGACACAAAAGAAAATAGCAATGTGATAAGAAGAAAACAGGAGAAAGGCAACAGCTATAAGAAAGAAGGGATCCAATTTTGTAACTGTCTAAGGGACTTAAGAGATCAAACCTCTGGTAAATTTAATTAAGTGCCTCACTTGAGGCACTTCTGATAATTTACACAATTTACCAGGAAAAAACCAAATTATAAAAAGCTTGGCACCAGTTATGCTGGAGGCAAAACAAACCTTACTCATTAGGTCTCTCACTACTCTGTATATCCTAAGTTGGGTGGTGGATCCCCAGGGAATTTCCCCTTGAACACATCCTTTCTTACCAGTCAGAGAGTAACTAATGTGTGAGAGTGCCTAGAAGGAGTCACTGTTTTTGAGTGACAGCATGTAAACTGTACAATCTCCTGTAGAAAGGCTGTCTGCTGGTATTTCAGTTCTCTGATACGGATTCTGTTTCCCCTGTAGTCTGGCCTCTCCTTGTCTGTTTGTTTTGTTATCATTTGTATGGAGATCATCAGATCCAAGTACATTTGACATATGGAGATAAGTCAGGAAAGGAAACAACATATGGCAGACAATTCATATCCATCAAGATCTGTCATAAACCCATTTTTAGCAATAGAAGAAGAAGAGCAGAAAAAGACAGCAGGTTTGAATTTAAAATAAGCATGCTGCTCTAACAAACAGAAGGGCCTAGGGCTTGCTTTGCTAAATGAGACCATTGGTTCTCCAAAGGCAGCACCTGCTGCTGCTTCAACAGTGGGTTAAAATCCTCTGCAGTGCATTGGCCAATTCCTTATTGACCATCATGACTGATTAATGACTAATCTCAAAGCCTTGAATGAAGATACTTGCACTGGCTGTCTAGCCTGTTGAATCACTGCCTTGGGATACTCCTTGTCTAATCCAGCTGTTCAGGCCACATTTATGGGGAAGAGGGAGAAGGGGAACCTCATACTGTACAGGTGCTAACAGGTGACTGCGCCCAGAGACCCAAGTGTGCAACATCACATAATTGATAGGATAGATGAAACAGTCCATGTCCATACTAGGAGGGCACTAGCATTGTCTGTTGGAAAGGTGGGCAGGATTGAATTCAGGCTGAATTCAAATCATCTACAAAGGTGCTTTGGATATGTAGCCCTGGGTCTCAGGAATGTGCTAGGCTTCAGGCTATTCCTGGGACTGGCTGCCTCAGGTAAGGTGTAGCTGTATACCAGAAACATGGTATTTGATTTCTTTAATAAAAAAAAAAAAAAAGCTGGTCCTTCATTTTGCCTGAATTGAACTTTTGGCTGAAGAGGAGTATTTTGAAGGGTTGTATCTGCTCTAGACATGGCTGTATTTGGATTTTTTGGATATACTGGGAAGTTTTAAAGGAATGAGGGTGATTTCCAAGAGAGAAAAATACTGTGTGTGTCATTAATCTGTGTAACTTAGTTAGTAACCAATTGAATTTTTTCTGTAAAATTTAATGGCCATTTTTCTCTAGGGGAAACTTGGCCTTTTACCAAAGAAAATGGCCTTTTATGTTTACATGGTTTCCTTTTTATAACCCTGTAGAAGAGTCTTGCAAGATAGAAATGTTGTTTTGAGGATGTGCAAAGCTCTGCAAGGGAGTGTTTACATTGCCCAACCTAACAGAGGTCTCACAGGCTCAGGCCCTCCTGTGCCAAGAGGAAGGAGCAGCCTCAGGCTCCTTCTCTTGAATCCAAAAGCTGAAAAACAGAGGAGAAATAGCCACTGTGCAGATATACACTTTGAAGGAGGATCTTCTCCCAGCCTTTTTTCCTCATATTCTTTTACATAAGTTCCAGTAGGGCCAACCTCCTGTCTCTTCTGCCAATCATCTTCTCATCTGTTATTTTCTCTGCTCCAGGAGCAGAGTAGTTGAGCTGTAATGGTGGAGTTTGCTGATACTACTTTTCTGGAAGTAAGCTTGGCCAAGTGTGTCTCCCACTCCTGCCTGGGTGAGCAGGAAGGATGAAGCCTTTGTGTGGTCTGAAGGACATCGAAGCTCTGCCCAGAGCATCACCACAGTGTCACAATAAGGAGGTGTTGTTGAGCATAGCAATCCTTTACAGTTGCCAGCTCAGAGGGTTTAAAATGCAAAATGGCATTTCAGTGTTTAAGAATAGCAAGTAATTTGATGGCTGTAATAGAAAAGCCTCCAATAGAAAAGCAATGTGTTCCAGAGCTGCATAACACTGCTGATAAAATTGCCTTTGGATTCCTTGTCTAATATTCCAGCCTTTCTCTCGCTCAGCAAAACACAATAGCTTGCACTAAGCCTCCCTGGGAGGGCAGCTAACAGCACATTTACTAGACACTTCAAACATTTGATCATATTTCTCCTGAGTATATTTAATATCTGTTAATGTCAGCAGCCCCAGCCTGATCAAAATACCTGCATTGCTGGGAAAAAATATTTAATACAAAAGATGACACGGGTAAGCAATCACTTACTGATGTCTTTTGGAAATGGATAGGTGACTATCTAGGCTCCCCCTACTCCACTTCTGCCTCCTCGTCCCCCACCCTGATCTGTTACCACCCTGCTGCTGTGTGCTCCTCTGAATGCATTAGAATGGTTATTCTGAGTATACAGGAGATGCCAGGAATAGTTTCAGGTTTCCTGCCTCATCAAACCAAATTCAATCTGTAAAAAATTAATACACCCAGAAGGAACAGTTAAAAGCATCTCCAATCAATTACTGTTAAAATGGGGGCTAGAAGGCTGATTTGTTAAATGAAACCCAATCCAGCTCAGAGCTCAAGAGGATACTGAAACAGCAGTACAGCAACGAGTCAAGCTGTGGTGCTTCAGAGGAGGATAGCGAAGAAGGTATGGGTTGAAGCAATGCATCACTCTCAGCTGCACACTGCTTCAGGCTTGGGGACGCCCAAAAGCACACCCTGTTTTGGGCAGGCCAAGGAAGTCTCAGTAGAACAGTCTTCTTCCCAGACTTCCCACAAGGCAGGAGGTGGCACAGGTGGCCATTTGCAATGGCCATTTGCATCTTCAGTCCTTTATTCCAGTGCAACTGCAGTGAGAATAAAGGATGCAGCCAGCAGCCTTGAGAGATCTGCACACTTACAACAGTCCCATGTCTACTGCACTGCTCATTCCAGCAGTTCAGAAGACAAGTTGGTACATCATCCACATGAATTTGCCTTTAAAAATCGTAAGTCAAAAATAGATAGATGAAAGTTGCTTGGTTTTTTTTTCTTGATACCTGAACATTGTTGACATTCAGTATTATTTGTGATGGAAGCTGAGACTCTCATATCATCTCTTGACTTAAGGGCCTGGAGCTTCAAGCTGCAGTTTTAAAGGTTGAATAAGTTTCAAGAACTGCCAACAAAGAGCCTTGTGGTGTAATTAAACAGAAATTTCAGTAATTTACACACAGTGGGTTCAGTCGGTAACTCTTGACTGTCTCTTGTCTGGTGTGCCAGTCTTCATAAAACTGAATTCTATTTTTTCCCTCAAGTGCTATCTGCTTGTTTCCAAGCTGTAGAAAATTTCCAAATCATGTCTGAAGTTACATTTGAATGCAACCTTTTCAAGAATATTTTCTTGCTACTTGGTGCCTTAAAAATAAATAAATAAACACACAAACAATTAGGTACGCAACCAGCTGAAGCCCATTGTCACTACTTTGCCTCTGATTAATGTAGGTCACACTTTTCTTCCTTCCAGCTATTAAGTATTTAGATCCATTTATACTTTAATCCCATGTCTTTTTCCTGGTCCTTTGTTGCTGTGTTACATCCTCACAGTCAGAGAGCATTGAACTAAGTTGTAGAAAAACGGGAAGAGGGAGTTAAGGCAGTAATCCGGCTTTGAAATAAAAAATTGGCCTGAGGTGAGTGCTTGAATCTAAAGAGCTTACTGAAGGTAGAAGAGGAAAAATAATATGGCAGGAGAAACTGAGGCAATATGACCTCAGCCAAGATTAGTACTTGTCTAGATGGGGCACTTGAATGCAATTCTCATGAGAAAGGGTTAATTAAACTGCATTTCCTTCAGTGTTGACTGAGTCAGGACTAGGAGTGAGAGATTTTTGGAAGGCTATGATAGGATTTTTAGGGTTGTTAGGTAAGAGAGTAGTTCAGCTCGTGCTGGAGCTATGCTGCTTGGTGGGCTGCCATGAGGAGGAATCAGAGAGGCCCTGAGCTGCTGAGATGGGAAGGGTTCATATTGTGCTCCTTACCTTTCCCTATATCCCTTTGTTCAGGCAGAGGACCACTGCACTCAAGAAATATGTTCATGTTGCTCACAAATCTTTGCCTGTGAGATTCAGAGTATGTTCTGGGCTTGATCTGTTCCAAAAACTGTATTTCCCTTGGAGCTGGGAAGGAAATTTTTTAGACAGCAGCAACAATTGTGCTCATAGTGAGGAAACATGTCTGCCTATTAGCTATCTATCACATTTTCTATACTCTATCTTAAACAGTAGCAGCAACCTCCCTTTTGGTTAAATTAGAGGAAACAGGCTGGAGAGAGCTCAAGTAAAGCCAGCTGAGATATTCTTGTGTTCAGTAAAACAAGTTTACACAGAAATACAATTATTGGTCTCCTCTGGCAATAACTGGACATGCTGACTCCATAATGCCCTAGTTCACACCTCTAATTCTTTGCTACTTGAAAGCCAAACCAATTTCCCTATGAAATATTGAAAATAAAGTACCTATTTTATGGAGACATTTTGGACTCCATGCATTCTGTGTCGCAACAGGTATAAACTGCATTTTGCTGAAAAGAGAGCATTGTTATTTCATTTTTCCAGGTCTGAGCAAGAGGAATGATGTTTCTGCAGTCAGATATAGGAGACTGCATGGTTCAGTTGTGCCCTACACTAAGATACAGTAACACATAGTGTGGTGCAGCTTTAATTTTAATTCAAAATAAATATTTCCATAACCTACAAAATTCCCCTAATACACTTATCTGGGAGAACACAAAGATTAAAGAAATCCTGCTAATTCCTTTATCTTTCAGATACAGGGCTGAAAACAAAGACATTCAAACCTTGAGCCATTTAGAAGAGGAAGAAGCCAAAATCTGTGCCAGAGGTTTGACTGCTGGGTTTACTCATGGCTTCAGGTAAGCTTCTTTCCCTGGGTTATTTAGCATTTCAGAGGCCCTCTGTGTTCCTCAAGGAGAGCTGTGGATTACAGACATAAAACCTTGCATAGCTTGCAGCCAAGGCAGAGCAGGGGGAGTACAAACAAGCTAATCCAGGGTGCCTTCCTATCCAGCCACCTGCCTCTGACCCTGGCCAGCACTACATGCTTCAGAGGAAGATGTAAGAACCTCACAGCAGGCAGATGCAGGATAATCAATCCTTTCAACCTTTTCCTCAAGCCCCATTAGATCTCATCCTGATCCTGAAATAGTTAGAGGTTGGATTAAGTCTTGAAGAATGGCATTTAATACACTCTAAAAATTGTTGTTATCATTAACTCCCATGACTCTGGAAACTAATGTTATCCTTAGACAAATACATTTTCATTTTGAATCACCCTGTGTCCTTGGTCTACTATGGCAATGAGTACATAGGCTTAAACACCTGTTTGCAAGAAGCATTTAATATTTCTTTCTATCTGTGGTGATTTTGCTATGATTTTTTTCACTGCCTGTCTTTTTTCCTGACATTATGAAGTAAGGAGTAGGGATAAAGTGGGTATACTCTAAAGATTACACATTCCTTCCTCACATTATTGTACAAAAGGTCTCAGGGGATGAATTCTTTCAACAGCTTAAGCATTAGTTTGGCAGCCTGCTTCCAGCCCCATTAAAAAATACAGATACCCTAAACACAAGCCCTGATCCATACCTTAGTCCAAATTGCTGACCTTGGCTAACTTTTGTTTCAGCTTTCCCAGGCATGGTTAGGATAAGTAGGATCTTATAGGAGAGCTATTTTTGCAGAACATCTATCCTTTGGCAGCCCCTTTCCTGCCCTACTCAAATTGGAGTAGTAGTTTTTGTCCCTCTCCTAACCCTAACCCTTTCACTCATCCTTTTTGTCAGTGTCAGTTAATCAAGACCCTCAGATATCCTGGAAGTGGAAGAGTTTTCAGTCCAGAACATTTGCAGCTTCCCTGTTCCTTTGGCCTCCCTTTTTCTCCCTGCACCGTTTGTAGCACTCTTATTGTAGTCATTTTTAACCCTAACCTTGGCTAATGGCCTTGTCTTCTGCTCTTTCCCTAGGATGTCTTCTTAATATCTTGCTTTAACAGAAATCATGTCCCCATTTAACTTGTGCAGTATGTCTGAGGAAGTTTTCAGAGCCAATGAAGAGACATGATGTGTAAGATTTCAACTGGGTTTGTCGTGCTTACCTAGAATTGCTCAAACGTATTTGAGTGTTAAATTTTTAATCAATTTTGGCTATCTGCTATCATTTCTGTACAGATTGAATCTACATGGATATATCTACAGTGATGATTTGAACTGTTTCCTTGCGTCACCTGCATTATATCTTTGTACCACTTGCGGTGCAGCATCCTCTCCCTAGCCCCAGCTCTTGACCATTCCTCCTTTACTCTCCTTCTCCCTATAACATCTCATCCTCTTTCTCTTTCATGTTGCATATTCTGTTCTTCTCTTCTCTTCTCTCCTGATTGGAGCTCCTCACTGAGGCAGAGGCCAAGGGGCACCTGAGGGACCCATGTGTGTATTTGTGTGTTGTGGGCAAGAAAATGCAGAGGAGGCCCTGCCTATGTGAACTGGCAGAGCCCCATGCTGTGAGCTGGGCGCGGGAGGCAGGCAGGGGAGGTGTTGCCCTGCTGTGAGGCACAGCCTCTCCTGTGGTGGGACAGGGGCAATTGCTACTCAGAGCTGCCGTGGCGTCCTCTGCCAGAGACACTGGGCGTGTGACTGCTGCCCTGTGCAGCAATGAGGGCCCTCAGCAGTTTGGGGGTACAGATCATGGGATGGGTGTAAAAAAAACCCCAGCTTTCTCAGTAAAGAAAGAATTTCCCACCTACATTTAGATTTCTGTGCAAGCAATATTTTCCCCTTTTCCAATGTTACATGTCTTTGGTGTTTTGGAACTTGAATTTGATTACTTGGGCCAGTCATCTGGTTGCCTAAGGTCTTCCTGAATGTCATCGTAATAATTCTTACTACTCACCCACCTAAAAATTTGTGCCCAGTGCATTTTTGCTATTTCACTTCCAGCCCTTTCTAGATCACTCAAAAACACAAGCAAATTAAACAGTGTGGGATCCAGAGCGGAGGCTTGAGGCATATAACATTTGTCAGGGTGAAAATAGTCTATCTGACTCTTCACTTCTTTTCCCTTTGTTAAAGTTTCATCAAAATAATAGTTTACCTGCCTCTACTATGCTGCTTGAATTCCTATAGTTTCTCTTTTTTGCGATGATTGCTCAAAAGCATTTTGACAGTTTGAATAAGTCGTGGCTTTCCTCTGACATGGCCAGAGAATTATGAGAGATTAGTGAAACACTTCTGCTTTCTCTGGCTGTCATTTTAAACAACCCGTTACTATTTTCTTCCCATTCTTAATGCTACTTTTAAGGAAGAATGGCTGAAACTTTTCAACTAAATGTGCCTTGTTAGACTCCAAAAATCTGTTTCTATTACCGTGCTTATCACACCACCCCCTCAGCACTACTAGGCTTTTAAATGTGGAGATCAGTAGTAATTGGAAGAGCATGAAGTAATTGGAAGAGCATGAGAAAGGGCAGATTTCAAGAGCTTAGGGCTTAGTGTTCCGAACAGTTTGGTGCTCATACCTGGTACTGGAGTTTCACAGACCTAACTCCATGGGAACCAAACTGTTTTGGAAACTTGACCCAGGCCTGTACCTTGGCCTCTCCTAACAAGCTGGTGAGTCTTCATGGCACAGTGCAGCTCTGTGCAGGTAACAACTCAGCTTGTATAGATCCAGTACACCTTTCAGTGCCCAGAAAATTAGCCTTGCTGTAGAGCAAAGCAGCTTCACAGCTATTCCCCTTCCAGTTTGGGTGATAATTAGGGTAGAATTAACTTGATGGCCTCTGCTCTGTGCATGGTTGCATCAAGAAGAGAAGTTCATGCTTTGAAGTCCACAGAGGGTGCTTTGGGGAGTGTACAGGCCCATCTCCAATCTCAGACAATGAGGAACTCTCTTTCTGCAACTATTTCTACATGGGGTGAACCCAAACCCTATGAAGGTTGCTTCCATCATAAGCCAACGCAGATACTGAGGAGGTGCAGGCGCCATTTCCTCAAGCATTCATCAAAATTCCCCTCTGACCCTCACAGCTTCTTCAGGACTGTGAGACCTCTAGGTTCAGGCTATTCATCCTACTTTTCCCAGAGAAGTGTGGCTTGTCCAGCGGGACACGTTTCTTTGCAACTAGTTCTTCAGCCTATGATGACTTAACAAAGTAGCCCTTGGTTGACTGCACAGATGCATCCCTGATATTCTGGTATTGCCTAACTCCTCTCAGAAGAAAGGAATGTTGCATTTGATGACTTAACCTAGTCACTGGACACTGTTCCTGGAAGAAAAAAAAAAACTGAATAAAAGCCCCAAACCAAACAAAAAAACTGCAATACAAAAATCAAAACACCTGGGAAATGCTGCTCCTTATAATCCCAACTGTCTTGTCCTGTTGCTAAGAGGAGCCATGCAGCTGTTATAGACACACGCAGGAAAACAATGTTATTAGAGGCATCAGGCATTTGTTCAGGAGACTGTGGGATGATGCCATTCCTTGGGCATTGCAGATGTATTAAAAGGTCAAACAATCTTTCTATTTCCCAGTTTGTTTCAGAGAGTTTTGTTGAACATTCTCATTATTCGTTTTGGTATTTCTTTGATTTAAGAGGATTTCTCTACATGACTGTAGTTATTAGAATGCAGTCTGTGTGCGGTGAATGTGCTATTACTATAACAAGCTTCTCCTTGTAGTAGATATTTATTCTGAGCACAAAGCTTTTAGTTCAGCTGTGCATGTGGCAGTGAAGACAAGATGGGGCATGTAATTTGGAAAAAAAAAAGAGTGAAATGGGAAAAAGGCACAAAATTAGTAGTTTAGAGTAGTGACTTCTGTATCTGTCTTTATGGCCTCTGTGCCAACTCTTAACTTACTTTTCACTACTTTTTTTTGATAGAGAGAAGCCTTGTGCAACAGCATTGAGACCCTGAGGATGGGACCAAATGTTTCTTTTCATATAACTTTCCCCTAATTGCAGCAGGGCTTTAGGTCCTATTAACCTGTAGATGAATTGCAGAAAGGCCTCTGAATCCCTACGCAGTTGTTTGGGGATCCTTCCTGATCCTTCTCCAGAACTTGCCCACTGTTCCTTGCCCACAACACCCTTTCAGTGTGAGAGAGGGGAAAAGGGATTGTTGGAGGGCGAGACAGTTAAACACATCACACAATCCTCTGGTTTAGTGAGAGAAGGCAGAGGTAATAAGAACTTTCTGTGGGTTTAGGAACAGTAGGAATACTGTAATTATCAGAGAGAGATAATTAAAGATATTATAATGAAGGCAGGAAGTCAAAGGCATTATGTCATGGTTCCTACTCTACGTTTGAAAAGCCACAGCATATGGGCTTGGATAAGGCTGATTACTTCCCAGAAGAAATAACTGAAGAATCTGCTAAACATTATCTATTAGGACAACATATATCTAAGAGTCTTGAGAAGGTTGGCTCAGGAAACATCTGGTTTTAATGAGTGCTGGCAATATTGCAGATGACTGCAAAGGTCTTAGGTTTTGCCAGTAATTCAGAGGTATGTAACAGCAGTGGCTATGACAGTTATAAGTTGAACAACCTGAAGTTAATATCTGGCAAAATATTGCACAGGGAAATATGAGGTTCAATTTCTAACTAGAAATATAATTAATATCGGGCAATATAGCTTTCCAGGAGGTAGAGCCTGCTAAACAGAACAACTTTCATTTTGTATGTGATTACAAATTCAGTTGTTGACAGTGACTCTAGAGAGATAATGTGCTTTTGCAATGTGTTCAGCATGGCCCAGCACAATATTTTTACTTGAGTCAAAAGAGGCAGGGAATACTGACTGATGGGAGTGAGGTTTTTATGAAATAGTCTGTGGCCAGTGTTATTTCAATT